ACATTTGGCACTCCCAGCCTGGGGGACAGAGCAAGACTCGGTCTCAAAGAAAAAAAAAAAAAGAAAAAAACTTAGTAGTATATATATTAGTTATATATATATATAAAAGGTTGGGTGGTGGTGGTGCAGGCCTGTAATCTCAGCTACTTGGGAGGGCCGAGCAGGAGAATCATTTTTTTTTTTTTTTTTTTTTTGAGACGGAGTCTCGCTCTGCTCGCCCAGGCTGGAGTGCTGTGGCCAGGATCTCGGGCTCACTGCAAGCTCCGCCTCCCGGGTTCCCGCCATTCTCCTGCCTCAGCCTCCCGAGTAGCTGGACTACAAGGCGCCGCACCTCGCCTGGCTAATTTTTTGTGTTTTAGTTTATAGAGACGGGGTTTATGTCACCATCTCGGCTTACTACAACCTCCACCTCCTGGGTTCAAGCGATTCTCCTGCCTCAGCCTCCCAAGTAACTGGGACTACAGGCACCAGCTACCACGCCTGGCTAATTGTTTTTGTATTTTTAGTAGAGACAGGGTTTTACCATGTTAGCCAGGATGGTCTTGATCTCCTGACCTCGTGATCCGCCCCCTTCCCAAAGTGCTGAGATTACAGGTGTGAGCCACCATGCCCGGCCCATTTTATATATTCTTTAAAAAACAAAAAACAAAACAAAACAAAAAAATACAGAGAGCTTGGCCAGGTGCGGTAGCTCACGCCTGTAATCCTAGCATCTTGGGAGGCAGAGGCAGGCGGATCACTTGAGCTCAGGATTTCAAGACCAACCTGGCCAATATAGTGAAACCCTGTCTCTACTAAAAATACAAAAGATTAGCTTGGTATGGTGGCTCCTGCCTGTAGTCCCAGCTACTCCGGAGGCTGAGGCAAGAGAATCACTTGAGCCAGAAAGGTGGAGGTTGCAGTGAGCCGAGATCATGCCAATGCACTCCAGCCTGGGTGACAGAGCAAGACTCCGCCTCACAGAAAAAAAGAGTGCTAAATATCGATAAGTTCCCACTCTCCACACACTCTCCACTCTCTCCTGTTCCAACTTCTGGCAACTAGCAACAATAACAGTGTTTTATTTTAACAGCTTTATTGAGGTACAGTTAGCATATAATAAAATGTATGCAACTTCTGCCTTCAGGGCTCAAGCCACCTTCCCACTTCAGCCTCCCAAGTAGCTGAAACTACAGGCACACACATCACCGCGCCCGGTTAATTTTTGTATTTTTTGTAGAAATGGGGGTTCATCATATTGCCCAGGCTGGTCTTGGACTCTGAGCTAAAGCAATCTGCCTGCCTCAGCCTCCCAGAGTGCTAAGATTACAGGATTGAGCCACCATGCCTGGCCTAAAATATACATTTGTTTTTGTTTTTGTTTTTGAGATAAGAGTCTGGCTCTGTGGCCCAGGCTGGAGTGCAATGACCCCACGTCAGCTCACTGCAACTTTGGGAGCTGCATGGTCCCGAATGCTCAAGCAATTCTCCTGCCTCAGCCTCCCGAGTAGCTGAGACTACAGGCACTCACCATCATGCCCGACTAAGTTTTGTATTTTAGTAGAGACAGGGTTTCACCATGTTGAAGGTGAAGGTTTACCATGTTGGCCAGGCTGGTCTTGAACTCCTGACCTCAGGTGATCTGCCCACCTCCGAGTGGCAAAGTGCTAGGATTACAGAGGTGAGCCACCTCGCCCAGCCAAAATGTACATTTTAAAATCATGCAAGTATTGAGCCGGGCGCGGTGGCTCACGGATGTAATCCTAGCACTTTGGGAGACCGAGGCGGGCGGATCACGAGGTCGGGAGATCGAGACCATCTTGGATAACACAGTGAAACCCCGTCTCTACTAAAAAATACAAAAAAATTAGCCAGGCATGGTGGTGGGCGCCTGTAGTCCCAGAGGCTGAGGTAGGAGAATGGTGTGAACCCGGGAGGCGGAGCTTGCAGTGAGCCAAGATTGTGCCACTGCACTCCAGCCTGGGCAAAAGGGCGAGACTCCGTCTCAAAAAAAAAAAAAAGTATACAAGTATTGACACAGGCTGGGCGCGGTGGCTCACGCCTGTAATCCTAGAATTTTGGGAGGCTGAGGCAGGCGGATTACGAGCTCAGGAAATCGAGACCATTTTGGCTAACATGGTGAAACCCCGTCGCTACTAAAACTACCAAAAATAAAATTAGCCGGGCGTGGTGGCAGACGCCTGTAGTCCCAGCTACTCGGGAGGCTGAGGTAGGAGAATTGCTTGAACTCAGGAGGCGGAGGTTGCAGTGAGCCAAGACCGTGCCATTGTTCTCCAGCCTGGGAGCAGAGCCAGACTCCGTCTTAAAAAAAAAAAAAAAAGTACTGATATACATAAATACCTGTGAAACCGGCCGGGCGCGGTGGTTCACGCCTGTAATCCCAGCACTCTGGGAGGCCGAGGCGGGCAGATCACGAGGTCAGGAGATCAAGACCATCCTGCTAACACAGTGAAAATCCCCGTCTCCACTAAAAATACAAAAAATTAGCAGTGCGTGGTGGCGGGCTCCTGTAGTCCCAGCTACTCGGGAGGCTGAGGCAGGAGAATGGCGTGAACCCGGGAAGGTGGAGCTTGCAGGGAGCCTAGATCGTGCCACAGGACTGCAACCTGGGCAACAGAGCAAGACTCCATCTCAAAAAAACACAACAATCCTGTGAAACCTTCACCACATCAACATGATGAATTTACCCATTTCCCCCAAAAGTTTCCTCATGCCGCTTCCTCAAGCTGTTCCCCGCCTCCCACTTCAATCCCCAACTAA